TATTTGCATTGTTAAATATCAACAAACTTGAATTTTTCATGTCTAATCTTATATTGCTTAATGCTATTATTTTTATATTCAACCTTTTTCTCCATATGATTGATTTTTCACCTCTTCAGTTGAGTATTTTTGCATTTCTTCTTGCCTAGAACTAAAAACTTTAAATGTTTTGATGATCAAAATGATATTTCTTATTCTTTTACCAAATCTGGAGTATACAAGAGATGTAACTTTAGGATCTCAACTTGATACTTGTGAAAATGACATTCATCTTTTCCTGAATTATTAGTTTTTTTCTATTTTAGAGGTGAAAAACATTTCAGAGTAATAAGACCAAGATCTGCGTGAACACCAGGTGGCTAAAAGGCAACATACATTGACTGTAAAATTAGTCCATATGACTCTAATGAGCGCATCTTGTTCAACAAAATATCCTGTCTTATTTCTTCATCGTAAAAATATTACTCTGTAAAAATTGTAGAAAACTATTCATCATCTTCTTTGAACTAGCTTTTAATTTGTACAATGCCTCTGAAATCAAAAATGGTTAGACCTATCTAAATAGTGGGTGTAAATATTTCTAATAAACTTGGAGCATTCTTGGGATCACATCACTGGTCGTCTTGTGATCTTCAGTTTGTCCTGGTTTTTCTATAAGAAAAGCTATGCTATCAATAGTCAGAGAGCTATCAATCCACTTACCACTACAGGAAAGGTCAGCGATGACTCAGTAATCATAAAACTGTGCATGAGATGAGAGAGATAGAGAGATAGACAGAGAGGCAGAAACACACACACACACACACACACACACACACACACACATACACACACACGGAGAAAGAGAGAGAGGCATAAAGACAGACAGACAGAGACACAGAGAGAGGAGAGAGAAGAGACAAAGAAAGAGACAATGAGTTGTGTTCCTTACATGTCTCATATTGTGGCCAAAGGTTTTTTTTTCTCATTTTTCTAAGCTTATTTTTGTATTTTTTATATTTTGTTAATTTTAATGAGAAAGAAATAGTAATGAGATAGTTTCAAAACAGGTTAGTAGGGCAGTTACAATAATTAATACGTTGCTTATTGTTGTCTTCATAGTAGTTATTCACACTACAAGACGTAGACATTTCTTGTCTAAAAAATATTAGCACAAATCTTTCTGCTCATTAAACTAAGACAAAGTAGTTGTATATCTATCCTAACCAATTTGTATATACATATATTTATTTTCACTACAAACTAAGGTCCATCATTTATATCCCCCCCTTTTTTTTTGTTTGTTTTCTTTTGTCAGAGATGGGTGTTCCATTGCTGTTAGAGAAGCTGTATTTGGAGAAATCTTTAAATAACCTTTTCATACTTGATGCCAGTTCAAGTATTGTAGGTACATGAATTGAGCAAAATATCCCAGTATATTCTAAACATCCATAATAGTTGTGGGTTATCAGCAGAACTGGCAATTGTCAGAAGTTGTTGATTTGAACCTTTTACAGCTCAGCATATTAATATGGCATTACTTTTTATACCTCATGGATATAATTTTCTACTGGACGGTTAAGACCAAATTAAAGCAAGACCTATATAACTAAAAATGTAACCTTTGTATCTGACAAGGTCAGTCAGATCCCCTCAAATTTACCCTGAAACCATGTAGAGCTGCTTGTAGATCTTTCGTCAGTGTCAGCCATCTGGATGGGTCATGGCCCAACTTTTATGTCTAGTTTTCTCCTTGGAGGGTTGGCCAAATAGCTCAGCAGATTAAAGCACCTGCAAGCAGGCACAGGGGCCAGGGGTTCGATCCCCAATCCTCAGGCCTGCTATGCCAGCCCCACCCCTGGGGTGCACTGAGACAGCAATTGAGACTGGGAGTGGTGGAGCATGCCTGTAATCCCAGCTCTTGAGAGGCTGTAAACAGGCAGATTAATACGGGTCCGATCTAGTAGTGAGACCCTGAACATCTTGTAGACCCTTCCCTAAAAATAAAAAAAAAATAAAAAAATTTTCTGCATGGAATTTCATCAGTGTCATAGCAAACCCTCATAAAAGTTATGTTTGTGCAGAATATAGCTGGCACAATTTGCATACCTTCACTATTCACAGCTCAATTCCTTATCTCTGTGCCAACCTGGTTCCATGGAACAAGTGAACAACGTGACAGAATTCATCCTGCTCAGTTTCACACAGAACCCAAAGGTACAGAAACTCTTGTGTGTCCTATTTTCCCTCATCTACTGCCTCACCCTGGCAGCTAACTTACTCATTGTTGTGACTATCACCAGGACCCCAGCCCTGGGTTCCCCCATGTATTTCTTCCTATCCTTTTTATCTTTCATTGATTGCTGCTGCTCTTCTACCATGGCCCCCAAAATGATATTGGACTTACTGGCTGAGAAGAAAACCATTTCTTTTAGTGGATGCATGGCACAGGTCTTTGCAGAACACTTCTTTGGAGGAGTTGAAATCATCCTGCTCACGGTGATGGCCTATGACCGCTACGTGGCCATATGCAGGCCTCTGCATTATGTTATTGCAATGAACAGGCATGTGTGTGGCCTCCTGGTGTCCACAGCCTGGGCCGGAGGATTCCTTCATGCTCTCATCCAAATTCTTTTCATGGTCTTCTTGCCATTCTGTGGTCCCAATGTCATTGACCATTTTATCTGTGACCTGTTCCCTCTCCTGAAGCTCTCTTGTGCTGACACCCACATCTTCGGACTCTTTGTTGCTGCAAACAGTGGTCTGATGTGTGTGCTCATTTTTGCTGCTCTTGTCACCTCCTATGTCCTCATCTTCTGCTCCCTGAAGAATCACAGTACTGAAGCAAAATGGAAGGCCCTGTCAACCTGTACTGCCCATATCAACGTGGTTGTCCTGTTCTTTGTTCCCTGCATATTTGTGTACCTTCGGCCTGTAGTCACCTTTCCCATTGATAAGGCAGTAGCTGTGTTTTACACTGTGGTGACCCCCATGCTGAATCCTCTAATCTATACCCTCAGAAACACAGAGGTGAAAAATGCCATGAAGAAACTGTGGAGCCAGAGAATGATCTCAGGTACTAACTCATATGAAGAGAGAACATGAAAAAAATCTGTCCTCATTTCAACAATAATGGGACCATCAAGAAAAGAAATGCCCTTGAAGTCAGCATACATTAGTTTAAGTATATGTTCCCTTTGTTTTCTGCAATTTCTTTATTGGTTCTTTTTTCATAAAAGATGAATTTTTTAAGTAAAATACTTATTTATTCAGCATCTTATTATGCCAAAATGTTCTGTGCATTTACCACTATAATTGTCACACCCTCTATAACAGGCAAAATTGTACATCAAATTATATGTCATATTATCTGATTATATAAAAAGGTAAAATGAAAATGATTTATCAATTCCTCAACATTCCTACTACTTCAGTAAGAAATATGAGGCACCAAATCTTAGTAAAATATGACATAGGAGCAGTAATACAATTCTCACTTAAAAATTTATTTGTGTGTAAAACAAAATAATGTTTGAATTTATTCCATGTCTAAGGGTATAAATATGAGGTAAAGGAAAACATCCTTAGGCCACCAAAAATGCATTTCTTTAATAAACACTAGCTGAGAAAGGTTGTGCCATTCTTGGCAACTGGTCCAGACACTTGTAAAACAGGATAATTAAATGTCCTCCACATTCTCAAATTCTTTAGGGTGCAGTTCAGTTGTAGTTTTACTTTACATGTTCATTGGAATGCTGAGATGAATTCTATCCTGCATCCTTCTGTCAGCAGATTTCCCACTATGTATATTGAAATTAGGCCTGTTATTCCCATTAATTCTTCTATTATTACAGTAGCTCTGTTAATTATGATGGTGGGTCAATATCATATTTGTTTTCAGCTACTTCCATGCTTAGAAACTCAAAATATAAAGAAATGGGAAGTTCTACATGATTGGAGAATGAATGGTGGGATAATTGCCTTTAAATAAATTATCATTTTTTTCATTTTAATGAGAAAAATATAAAATGCCAATGGAACAGTTTCAAAACAGGTTAGTAGGATAGTTACAATAATTAATATATTGTATATTGTTGTCTTCATAGTAGTTATTTAGAGGACAAGATGCAGACATGACATCTTGTCTAAACAATGTTAGTACAAACCTTTCTTCCCATTGAACTAAGAGAAAGTAGCTGTATATCTATTCTAGATATCTTGTATATACAAATTTTTTTCACAACAAAATGGTCCTTTATTTACATCTCCCTTTTTTGTTTTATTTTGCTAGAGATGGGTGTTCCATTGCTGTTAGAGTAGTTGTATTTGGAGAAGTCTTCAACATACCTTTGATACTTGATGCCAGTCCAAATATTGTATGTGCTTGAATTCAGCAAAATAACCCAATGTAGTCCAATAGTCCATAATAGTAGTGAATTATCAGTACAACTGGAAATTGTCCAAACTTGTTGATGTGAACCTTTTACAGCTCAGCATATTAACGTAGCTTTACTTTTTACACCTCATGGTCACATTTTTCTGCTGGATGGCTAAGACCAAGTTAAAGCAGGACCTATATATCTACAAATGTAACTTATGCTATCTGATAAAGTCTTCAAATACCCTCAGGATTTACCCTGGAACCATGTACAGCACCTTGTGGATCTTTTGTTAGTGTCAGCCATCTGGATGAGTCATGGCCATTGCTTGACAAATTTGCTGTCTGTGATAGCCTGAGAGAATTTTTTCTCTCTAGGTGATTCTCCTTAGACACACTATACATCATCAGTCATTTTCCTCTGTGGCCCCATGATCTCCTTGATCAAAATTTGGGACACCACTTAGTTATGGAATGTCACAGCAGAGGTTCTCTTACATTCTGAGTCCTCACTGACCTTGAAGGGCTATGGCCAAAATATTGGCTATCTTTTTAACCATCTCTGTGTCTAATTTTTGGTCTGCAAACTTTAGTTGTTAAACATCTAGAAGATAAGCTTAATGATATTATTATCCTATAACACAGGAAGTTAAGCTTAACATCACTATCTAGTTTAATATCACATACCTTAGACATAAGGTGGAGAGTCTATCTTCCAACAACCACTGATATTCTAAAATTTAAATCCCTATAGAATGTTAAGAAACAATTACACATTTTTTACACAGAAATTTAGAAATCAAACCATATATAGCATTGTAGCAGTACAATCCTGCTACACTTTTTTTTCTTGACCCTCGTCTACTTTTATTACCTTTTTTTAACATTTACTTTAAAGAAAGTATAGCAATAATTGATGTGATATTAGAAGCAGTACACATTTAGAAGACCAAAATGACAGGTATTTTAAGTGTGGTTTGAGTATTACACATTGCTGTTTACAATGTTCTTCCTTAGTTCACAGATAGCACCATATAGTTAGTCCGGGTGAGAATTCTACCCATTACCATTAACTGCTATGTTCAAAAACATGATGGAAATTCTTTGGACCACTGCCTTCACCATCTTGTTTATATAAATATATGGTTTTTCCCCTGCCATATTTCCTGACTTTTTTTCTCTCTCTCTCTCTCTCTCTCTCTCTCTCTCTCTCTCTCTCTCTCATTGTTTAATCCTTAAGTTCTCTCTTTCCATTTAACTGTGCTGTACCTTTCAATTTTTTTTATTCTTTGAGTTCTTACAGTAGGGATACAATACAATATTTACATATGTGTCTCACTTAAATTTAACTTGTTATAATTTTTATGAATAAACAAAGACAACAAACTTTTAAAACATTGTATTTACTAAGATTCTGGCAATTGCTTTATGTAACAAGATACAGCATACAAGGCATTCCCTTCAACTTGTTTGTAAGTCTTTGCTTCAATATGAATCTGTTTAAAACAAAAACTCAAAGCCTGCTTTATTCATACTAACTATCTTGGCAAGGGAGCCATTAAACATAGTAATGAACTTCTTTCTGCTGCTGGACACCGCGGAGGAAGCATCGTCAGTCTCTCTTCCAACTGCCGTCATGTCTACGTCAGAGTCTCTCAAGGAGTCCAAACAGCTACAGAAACTCTTCATTTGAGGTCTGAGCTTTGAAACAACTGATCAGAGTTGGAGGAGGCATTCTGAGCAATGGGGAACACTCACAGACTACGCAGTAATGAGAGACCCAAACTCCAAGCATTCCAGAGGCTTTGAGTTTGTCACTTACGCCTCTGTGGAGGATGTGGATGCAGCCATGAATGTAAGGTCACACGAAGAGAACAAAAGTTGTGGAACCAAAAAGAGCTGTCTCAAGAGAAGATTCTCAAAGACCAGGTACCCACCTAATGATGAAGACCTTTGCTAGTGACATTAAAGAAGATACTGAAGAATGTCACCTGCAGGAATATTTTTAACAACCTGGAAAAATTGAAGTGATTGAAATGATGACCGACCATAGCAGTGGAAAGAGGAGGCCTTTGCTTTGGTAACATTTGATAACCATGATTCTGTGGATAAAATTGTCATTCAGAAATACCATTCTGTGAACAGCCACAACTGTGAAGTGAGGAAAGCCCTGTTGAAGCAGGAGATGGCTAGTGCTTCATTTTACCAAAAAGGGTAAAGTGGTTCTGGAAATTTTGGTGGTGGTTGTATAGCTAGAGAAGCTTTGGTTTTGGTGGCAATAACAGTTTCAGTCATGGAGGAAACTTCAGTGGTTGAGGTGGCTTTGGTGGCAGCTGTAGTGGGGGTATATATAGTGGCAGCAGAGATGGCTACAATGGATTTGACAATGATGGAAGCAATTGCAGAAGTGAGGGAAACTATAATAAATTTGGCAATTATAACAGTCAGTCTTCAAATTTTGGACACATGATGGGAGGAAACTTTGGAGACAGAAACTCTCGGCCCTATGGTGGTGAAAGCCAACATTTTACCAAATCAGGAAATCAGGTGGCTATGGCGGCTCGAGCAGCTACAGTAGCTATGGCAGTGGCAGAAGATGTTAAACACTTCCAGGAAACAAAGCTCAGCAGGAGAGGAGAGCCTGAGAAGTGACAGGGAAGCTACAGGTTACAACAGATTTGTGAACTCAGGCAAGCATAGTGGCAGCAGGGCCTAGTTGCTACAAAGAAGACATGTTTTAAACAATACTCATGTGTGTGGGCAAAATCTTGAGGACTGTATTTGTACAACAGGTTATTTTAGTTTCTGTTCTATAGAAAGAGTAAAGCATTCCAACAAAGTGTTTTAATGTAGATCTCTTTTTTTGCACCCATGCTGTTGATTGCTAAATGTAACAGTCTGATCATGATGCTGAATAAAATGTGTCTTTAAAAAAAAATAATGAACTTGAGACAGTACAAATAAGAGTTAACAAAAGCTACACATTGCAGCCTGAACAACATTCATCCAAAAACAATAAAGTAGCTATGATTGGTTAGATAAAATTTTCCTGACTGATTAAATCTTAACAGTACAAAGCATGCATTTTAGAATCTTTAGCTACTGACTTCAAATTGTACCACTGTCTGTATAAAACAATTCCTCTCCAAAGCCAAAGTATAGTCAAAAATTAATTCAAATGACATAACACTTATGTTGAGCTGTAGGGGACTCAGGTCAACAATTTCTAACTATGCCAGAACCTCTCCCACCCCCTTGGGCCACCCCCCACCACTTCACAGTACCTCCTCCACAGTGCCCGAGTAGGAATTTCTGCCACATTCCAGGAAACCACAGACCCAGTCCTAGCCCAGGTCCAGTGAGTATGGAGAGAGCTTCCTGCTACCCTGCGTCAGTGGAACCAGTCCCAGTCCAGGCGCAGCATGGGCCGACCCTCTCCCACACCCTTGGGCCACCCCCCCACCACTCCGCAGCACCTCCCCCACCCCGCCCGAAAAGTAGCAATTTCTTCCCCATTCTGGGAACCCCCAGACATATTCCTAGCCCAGGTCCAGTGAGTGTGTGGGAGAGCTTCCTGCTACCCTGCGCTGGCGGGAACAGTCCCAGCCCAGGTGCAGTGGGGGCCGGACCCGCTCCCACCCCCTTGGGCCACCCCCCACCACTCTGCAGCACCTCCCCCAACCCGCCCATGGAGTAAGAATTTCTGCCGCATCCAGGAACCCCCAGA